CACACACACACACACACACACACACACACACACACAGAGTATCTCCGACGGTATGACAGAAGCATTTGACTATATCATTAGCACCTGCATAGCAAATCGATTGCACAACCTACAGACATCTATTAGCACGAATACTATCACAGTGCCTGCAATTTCAGACACTTTGCACTGTGATAGAACTTGTGCCAATCTCAGAGAGTTTGCACTGCGATATAGTACTCTCTAAAAAGCTTTGTAGCTTGCGATTCCAACTGCAGAGCCTGCATGGCGTCCGCATGGCGCCTGCATAGCGTTGGCATAAACTACTTTGAAACTGGAAGTGCAAGCTACAGAAGGCTTTTTTTCCTTTTTTCTTTTAACAAACAGGTCCTTATGGGCTTGGATCCTTTTCCATTCTGCAGAGCGTCAGTCCGGTTCCTATTCCCTCTGCGGAGCTTTTTTTTTTTTTTTTTTTTTAACAAACAAGTTCTTATGGGCCTGGATCCTTTTCCATTCTGCGGAGCGTCAGTCCAACATGAAAATGCGCTCACGCTTCTGAAGCACCCCCTCCTCCCTGACCACCATTGATTGCTCCGCTGAAGGAGGATCGACTGTCAGCTTGCCCAATCCACTTGATCCTCTCAGCTTCTTCCCTTCTCCGGCCTGTCCAATAAAGCTATTCAAACAAGACAAGTGGGAGGATCCGCCTCCAGATACAACTCAAAGAGTCTCATTCCTCTTCAAGGTACAAAAGGTAAAAAAAGGAAAACAAGTTCAACGCTTGGTGGGATTCAGATGGAATAGAGAAATATATACATATAAAACTTTCCATACACAGGTCGAGAGTTTGACTCCTACTGGATCCAGTTAAGACTAAAGGGTATTCCCCCTTCGAAAAGAAGGAAAAAAAAAAAAAAAAAAAAAAAAAAAAAAAAAAAAAAAAAAAAAAGAGAGAGAGAGAGAGAGACTCAGAGAAAAAGACATTGAGGCCGAGGGTGGGTGCACTAAAACAACTAAAGGCACTGAGGAAAGCTCACAGACTCGACATGGGTTGCCACTACGTACCGGATATCGACGTGAGAGATTGAGAGAGCAGAGCTTCTCATCATCAATGCCCAGATCATCCAATTCCAGCCACAAAACTTCTGTCCCCCTATCCGCTGCCTCTCTTTCCGCTTCTGCCAATGCCGACTCCACACTCTTCCGCGCGCTCGTGCCCGTATCCTCCTCCCCATCTTCATCATCTGCAGTATACTCTTCTTCTTCTTCTAGTTCAGAACCCACTTCTGCGACTCCCATCATGATTGCCATTCGCTGAGCCAGCCCTGGAACTTGTTGCAGCTGCAAAAAGATGTGCATTGAACCATTCAACAATGTCACCCACCGTAGCCAACCAAGGAAGAGCACCAGGAATGGAGGGATGACAGGGAGAGACAGGGGGAGACAGGGGGAGACAGGGGAAGAG